ATTGAATAGCCCTCTGATTTGTCCGATAACCTTCATAGCCATCGGCTTGACCGGCAGCCAGATACAATGGACACACACATAAATATTCAATTTAGCCATTATAGAACCTACATATGCGCACGTGATGGCATTTCTCAGCCATGAGATTCTGCAATTGTGCTCTTGTGGGGCATACATGCCCAATCCCAGGCGCCCTTCTTGACCCGTATCCGTATAAATACCAAACCGTGCCATGCAGATAAAACTTGAGCTCTACTAGTAGCTAGCTAAAACATGGATCAGGGGAAGGAAGCAGGAGAGAGCACCAAGTACCGCGGGGTAAGGAAGCGGCCGTGGGGGAAGTACGCGGCGGAGATTCGTGACTCTAATAATCACGGAGCACGTATTTGGCTTGGTACTTTTAACACAGCAGAGGAGGCGGCTCGGGCTTATGATAGGGCGGCGTATGCCATGAGAGGGCACTTGGCCATCCTTAATTTTCCTGAGGAGTATCCCATGGCAGGTGGTGGCTCCTCGTCTTCGTCTTCATCTTCATCGGCAATGCGTGGTGGTAAGCAGGTTTTTGAGTTCGAGTATCTGGATGATAAGGTGTTGGAGCAGCTTCTTGAGGACAGTGAAAGAAGGAGCAAGAAAAACTGAAGAAAGAGGATGGGTTGATCATATTTCAGGTCCTTAATTTGAATTGGTGAAGGCGTGCAAGATAAGTATATTTATGTTATGCTCTGTCATAAAGCACTCTGTTTCAAAGAGTGCCAGATAGAATTTATTTCTCTACTCTCTTTTTTCCCCCAATTTCTTCTCTCTTTTTTTTTTTTTTTTTTGAAAAATTGTAACTGGATTATTGCTACTTCTAATTTATAAGAACCAATAATTAACTAATAAATGTGAGCAGATGAACTCATTAATAAGAATTAATATTACTTGAAATTAAGGTGATTTTTTTTATTTATAAAGTATTAAACCAACAAAGTTCACATTCTTAAATTGAAAAATAATAAAATTTTTATCTTTATTTGCACTTTTTTTCACTAAAAACTCAAGTGAATATTGCAAGTTGAGCTAATACTTAAATGAGGTTGATTTATGATACATGTTTTAACAAATGTTTTTGCACATTGGAGGTAATTTGCCTAAGTGCAAGTTTTTTTTGAAAATAGGCAGTGGTGCCTAAGTGCCAGTTAAAACATGCTTATAGTGAGGTTAGGGAAGTAGCTAGTACATTCGTCAAGTTTGGTACTTTAATGCATGAGCTTTTCTTAAATAATGTAGTCTGTTTTTATTTTATTTTATTTTTTGGCTTCTTTTGTCTATGATAGGGCAGGAAATACTATTGAACTTTGCTTTGGAAGAACCTTTAATCAATCTATGCTCTTACCCAAAAAAGAAAAAAATGCTATTTCCCTTTGGACAATTTGGCTGTTTGCACGTCACTTTGTAGTTTGCAATTGAGCTTGCAATACCCAATCCCTATAACAGAACAAAACTAAACCTAAGGATCCAAACTAAACAAAAATGTAAAATAAATAGAAGACTAAAATAAAATCCTACAAAAGGTGAGGGGCCTATAGAACAAAAACTCCACCGGCTCCTCTAAGTTATAACTCTGTAGAAAAGCAGAAGATGCAAATCAGCCTCCTTACTCGCAATGTTGTGGCACATCAACCCCTCTACTTCTTTTTTTTTGGTGGTGGCAACAAACTCCCTCTACTTGCAAAACCTATGCCAACTGCCCCTTTTTCTTACTATGACATCATAAAACATCACTTTTTTTTTGGTATCTTGCATTAGCTTTCTCCCACCTTGAGACTAATTCTTTCTCAAGTGATTTTAAAGGCAACCCCATATTAACTTAGTGTATTTAAAAAAATTAATTTCTTAAATGTTGACAACATTTACTTATTAGTAAATCCAACCCTTGGGGTTATTGATCTATTAAATCCTTTATATGACCAAATGAAGATGTGATGTTAATTATTGTCATACCTTAGAGTATTAATGTCACACTAAATATGCTTATAATATCATTTGTTTGATTTTTTGTGGTAACGACAGTTTTGATTGGTTGGAATGAATTTCACTTGTTTGAAAAACACCACTTGGATATAATATCATTTATTAAGGAGATCTAGCCTAAACTAACCTTGCATCCATAACCACACAAAAAAAAAAAAAAAAAAAAAAAAAAGGAAAAGAAAAAAGTTCCCTCCCACTAGCTTGATAATAGTCCTATATACCACAAAAATGTTGATTTCTTTTTTTTTTTTCCCTTTCGTAAAAAGAAAGACCAATTTCATTACACATCCACCAGAAAAAATTGGACTATATAGACCAAGAAAAAACAAGCCTAAACCCTGCATCCACAACCAATGAGCTTCCCAAAAACAAATTGTGGTTCCACTTCTCATTGAGCACAAAGGAACATGTCTCTAACCAATGTTCATTTAAAGAGAAATTGTCATTTGCTTGTGAATGGTTTCGGCAAAAAACCCAACATAGAAATTATTATTCAGCCTATTACACTTGGGCTTGCAGTAACCTAATCTCGTCTTGCTTCTAACAAACTCAATTTTAAGGGGTTATCAATTATAAAAGAAAAAAAAAAAATACAAACACATGCACACGTGCACACAAAGGGATTATCTCTAAGACGGAACAAAACTAAAGCTAAGGATCTAAATTGAACAAAAATGTAAAATAAATAAAAGACAAATGAAAATCCTATGAAAGGTGAGGGGCTTACAGAACTAATACTCCACCAGCCCCCTCCTCTAACTTCTGTAGAAAACTCCTCCTCAGCAACACCAGAGAAGGCAACACCCGTACTTCCTTATAGTCTCTCAAATCACATCCCACACTTAATTGTTATACAAAAGTAAAGTATATAATTGAGTCACGCCCCTGTTTCTGTCCCTTCTCGATTATGTCTTCATCAAGCACAGAACTGGTTCCAACATCTAATCTGTAAAACTAAAACTATGTTCCCTTAATCCAATGAAAAGCCCTGATTTGTGCAAGTTCAAAGATCCTGTCAGCCTCTACCAAGCAATTCCTAAATACCTTCTCATTCTTACACACCACAAGGACCAGATTATAGAAAACCAGCCTACATACATCCTATTCATCTCTTAAATGTTTATTCTTAAATAAAGAGTAATTTTGTTAAAAGGATTCTGGGCAGCAACTTGCCATAACCGTACGTGGCAGTGACAGTCACACACCACTGAAAACATGTAGTCCATACCTTGGCAACCCAAGTTGGACATAACTTAATTTATTGCTTGATTAGTTGGAGAAATTTTTTTTTTTTTTTGTCAAAATTGAAAAAACTTATTTCACAAATTAGAAATAAATAAGTCTTAGATGGTTCTTTTCTACTAAATTAAAGATGAAGTAAGAAATAACCATTCTCAAGAGAAAAGAAGGTACTATTTATTCTTTAGTCATCAATTAATATAGTAAAAATGATTAATTTTAAGGCATATCTATTCTTAACTTGTTAAGTAAAATTTTTAATTTTATTTTATTTTTATAATTTGATTAAAAAATAGACATCCCTCTAATTAACATATAGGATCTAAGTTATTTTGATTTGAAATGCAAAATGGACAAGCTAAGAAAACAGAAGGATCCAAAACCATAACGGAGCTGTGCTTAGAAGAAAAATGCAGCACATAATTTGATTTGACAGAAATATAAAGAAGAGATGTAGCTTTATTTTGATGAATCATTTTAAATCATTAGACCAATGAAATAATCTAATTGAATATAATTATTTTCCCCAACCATCCTCTTCCCTCAAACCAATCGAACAGATAATTAAACCAACCAACGTCTTTTCACTACAAGGTTTAAAAGCAAAATGCATCAAACAATAGAATAATGGCTGGGCCAATCTCCATGTCCGCTTCTTTGATTTGTATTTATGAATAAAATAAAAGGCACAAATTAAAGCAACTTTCCAAAAAAGCTCATTCCTTAATTAATAGATTATTACTTCTTAATTATGAGAATAGGCATCTCTCTGATCACCAATACTGGTCACTAGAGCCTTTGAGAGATTCAAAATATCAAGAAAAGGAAGAAAAGGAAACAAATTATTTTGGGCTGGCAATATTCCCTTTGCTTTTCTAGGTTTGATAATGTTAAGTAAATCCTAAAAGGATATTTTGGAGAAGAATATGAGATAATTTTGTTAATTTAATTAAACTGCTTTAAAGCAAGTCCTTTCACCATATGCCATGGAATCGAGTCGATTTGCCTTAAGTCAAAACTCGTGTTAGGATTAATTCTGTTTTCTAGAAACGAGATCTTAGGCAAAATCAAGCAGAATCAAACTCTATTGATAGGAATACAACAAAATTTATCTTATTCTTTTGTGTTCCTCCATGTTGGTTTGTTGTTCATATTGTTGATTAAAAGTAAGTTATTCACGCTACCATTAGTCGAGAATAAGTAGAATCTAAAGAGTCGAAATTGCTGTTCATTAATAAGGTGATAACCAAATCATTTCTTCCTAGGCAACCCCAAATTGTGGTGATATCCCAGATGAATTAAAAATTTGAAGTTTCTTGAGCCCTCATATTCACAGATGAGGAGTGTTTGGATTATCGTTTCGAAAAATGTTCGCTTTATTTGAACTGCTTATCCATACACCCCCTTAGATTGCTTTGAATCTCTACCATATAAAATTAAGAATAAAGGGTATAGGAAGCTGATCTTGAAACATACTCCTTAACTTATTGGCAAAACAGTTGATTGAGAACCCAGGGAAATGAGTTGATATGGTGTCCCCCTCTTGGTCCATAAGTGCAGGGAGATTGGGATTGGACTTGTGACCTTCGCCATACTTATTGAGAGGTGAATTCTTGTGTAAATATTCTCATTTTTTTAGTTTTAGTTTTTTATTAATTTTGGGTTGTACAGGAAAAACAATTTTCCCTTATTTCTTAACCAACTCCCACCCACATGTCATATGATTGAAACTTAAGATTTCAACTTTTACTAAAAAGAGATTATTATTGAGTTATTTAAATTATTAATAGATATTCTAGCTTCTAGATAGCTTCTATCATCTAAACAAGGGCGCTACTACCACTTTGAATTGAACCTCTTGACGTTGTTAGTTTGGGTCTTGTTAATAAAAGTGACCAGTTATTTTCAGGGATGTAAGCGTTGATAAGTTTCCGTTTTGAAAGCCAGAAAACATTGTAATAATAATAAAGTGTGTAGGCCTTGTGTCTTTCATTCTTTCAGTGCACAATAAACATTGATCCATGTACTAAAAAAATTGTATATTATACATAATTAACATTAAACATGAATGTAATCTCCATAAGATAAAGCTAAAATATGAAATCTTATCAATAAAAAAATTTTATGATTTTATTTTAGTCATAAAGATCTAAAGATCAAGAATAGATACATCCCCACACTATTTATATACCCAAAACCATATTAACGAAATAAACGAAACAATTAACCAGAGGAACCAAAGCCATTAAACATATCAGCCCAAAAGGCCCCAAACCAACAAGTTCAGTCCAAAACGCCCAAATTGTGCCATACCATTAACCAGACCAAACAAGCAAGCAACACCAACAATACGCGTATGTTTGGTTAAAAGAACTAATTTTCTTAGAAAATTTTTTATTGGAAAAATAATTGGAAAAATAATTAGAAAAATATTGTATGAAAAGTTGTTAAGTATTATATGGAAAGTTAATAAGTTTTGTGGTAAAGATTTGTTAGAATTTTATTGGGTTGTTGACTATTTTTATCGTTTGGTAAAAAATTAGTACAAAAAAAGTTGGTAGGAAAATTATTAAGTAAATCCTCCATAAGGAAAATTAAGGGAAAACTTTTTTCCCTCAAAAAGTGCAAAAAGAAAAATTTACGAGTTGAGAATTGCATCAGAGAAAATAAAAATTAAAAATATCATTTTTATCCTTATTTTGTTGTAATATTAATGTATAAAAATACGTAAATATCCTTGTAAGGAGAAAAGTCCTTGTAAGGAGAAAAGTCCTTGTAAGGAGAAAAGTTTAGAGAATTTTAAGAAGAAAAATTTCCCCCAACTAAACACCCCCTAGATCTTCCTGGGCAGGCGGGACTGAAAACCAACAAAGGCTAAAAGAGTGGGTTTTTTTTAATCAACAAAAATATAAGAGTTCCCAACTTTATAGTTTAGATTGCATACTCTCCAATTTAATAGTTTTTTTTTTTTTGAACAAAAAGAGATACTATATAATAAAAGAGCAAATATACATACGAGTATATATGCAACCTAAATGATGATGAAGCTACTCTATAGCATTAATTATAGAGAAATTTATGCCCATAATAAATAAAATACTTAAGATGTAGAGGAATCAACTGTAACTAGAGATTGGGGATTCAATGAGGCATCAACAGAGCTACTAACATAGTAAGTTCACCTTAGTGAGCAATGTTAGTTGCTAGATCACTCCTTTGCCATGCCAACTTCTAGGGAGAGGAGAGTTTCGAGCCAACTGTAGGGCTGTTGCCTTTCTCTTGGAGGACTAAGGCAGTACCACTGTTGTCCACTAATATTTTAGTGGCATGTTCCTCCTCATCCAGCATCCTAGAGCCACCCTTTCTCTTACCTTTGGCTTCATTCTTTTAGTTAGAAGAAGGGGGAAGGCTCTTTCCCATTCTCTTCCATCTGCCTCCTCCAGAACTTGCCTTCCTTTCCTTTCTTGCCACCATCATCCCCTCCTTTTGCAGTTCATGGATAGGAATAGACCAAGTTTGTATTTGAATCATAGTTGCCTTCAGCAAGCTTTTTGCCATCATATTCAATCATGGGTTCTTTGCCACGGTTGTTCAGTTGTGGGCTTCCTTCTTGAATCAAGTTTCCATCTATACCAGGGTCTTCCTCCAAGATAACCATATTAGCCTTTGGTGCAATCTTCTCTTGTGCCTGAATGGGAGGATTTGATTAAGTAGATGAGTTATCTTCGATATTTGTAAGAGGGTTCCAGAGCTCCTCTACCTCCGCCTACAACCATGCCTCATACCTTCTCTAAATTTTCTCCCCTTGTTCCTTCAAGTTAAAGGCTCTCTCACAATTTGATTCAATGTGGCCTGTACGTCCACAAACATAGCAAAAATTAAGTAGCCTTTCATATTTGATACAAAGTCTCCTAAACCCATTCTCAGTGATTTGAGCTGTAGTAAACCTGCTTTGCGGTTTTTCAATATCCAAACAGATTTGAAATCGTAGAGATTTGCCATAATTCTCATGGACTTCCAGTTCCCTACCAATGCTCTGTCCTAGCTTAAACCCAACCTTCTCAGTGTTTAGCCCCATGGGTAGGTCATGTAGGAGCATCCAGAAGGTATTCGAGGAGAAATCATATTGTTTAGGCAAGAAATATTGATCAAACCACCTTAGTGTAATTAGAGAGTTGATAAAATTTCATTAGGTTTTTATCGAGACCTTATCTACATCAAACTTATTAGTAAACTGAAAAAGGTAGAGTTTTTCTCTGATCTCATTGACTTTTAGCCCAATACGAGGCTTCCAAGAAGACATCATGGCGTTTTGCAACCCTGTAATCCAGATTAGAGGCACAACCATTTTTTAGAAAGATAAATTGTATTAATGTAAAATAAAAAGGAAATTCTAACTTGTTAGCCGTACAACAAAATAAACTTACAAAGAATCAATAGTACCTGTGAAAATAATTAATTTCCACAAACAAATGCAACAACCTAGACAAAGTATCAATCCAAAATCAAATCGTACAAAAGAATGAACTATACAACCAAATCAAAGGAATCAAAACAACAAGCATCTGTATGAGGAAAAGCTTTTGAAATCTTATAAAGATCAAGCTGGGGCAGAACAAAACAATTCCAAGACAATAACCAAGCATTAAGGGGGTGTTTGGTGGAACTTCTTTTTCTAGAGTTACCGTTACCCCACTTGCAAACATTGTCACTGAGCATTGGGGTTGTTTGGCTTGAGGCATTGAGCATTTAAAACCTTGTTTAATTTAATTGTTAGAAAGCAACCAATAGTTAGAAATAAATATTTAATAACAGATAGTTGTTACTAGTGTTTGCCTAGCAACTAAACCAAATAAAACTTAAATAAATAAAACCAACCATCTACACTAGTTTTTAATATTTTTAGCTTGATAGAACAACAGAAAATGGGACCTAATTATAATTCAAAAAAATGTGTTTTTCACCTTAGACTACACAATAAAAATACAGTTTAAATTATAAATTTATCAAAATACTCTTAGTAAAACTTCTCTCCATATGAATCTATGAAGTGTACTAATTTTGGTGTCTGTATTACACATTAAAATTCATATTGAAAAACAAAATTCTCATTATAATATAATAGATAAACACAAAACAAAAAGGCTAAACAAGAATTACAGCATAGAAACTTGGTGTCTTATTTTTACCTCCATTGGTAATGGAGAACAAACCTAACTTTTTAGTATGGCCGTTGGAATTTAATCATTACTGTCACTTAACAAGAGGATGGGTGGCGAGAAGAAAGAAAAAACCGGAGATTCAGGTCTGGAAGAAAACAAGTGTTTTTGAATCAATTAATTCAATCTTTATTCCATTTCCTTTTCTCTTCTTCTGATGCAAGTAGATCCTCCAACACCTTGTTATCCAAATACTCAAGCTCAATAACCTGCTGCTGTGGCGGCCGTGGAGACGGCGGCATTCCTCGTCCACCTCTACTAGACGAACCAGCACCCCCAGAAGAAGACCCCGCAGACGACGACGACATTGCTATAGGAGGATAAGGCATCGACCCCACCACCTGATGATAATACTCCTGTGGGAAATTGAGCACAGCAAGGTGACCTCTCAGGTTAAACGCCGCCCTATCATAAGCACGCGCCGCCTCCTCTGCAGTATCAAACGTCCCCAGCCACGCCCGTGCGCCCTGCCTGGTTGGGTCCCGTATCTCCGCGGCATACTTCCCCCACGGCCTCCTTCGCACTCCTCGGTACCGCACTTCCTCTCTGGCCTCCTCCTCCTTCCCTTTGTTAGGATCCTCCATTCCTAACTCCTTTTTGGGCTCCGGGTTTTGTTTTTGTTTTTCTGAGAATTTAATTTGGTTTGATATGTTTAAAGATTGTTGATATGCGTATTTATATATTTGGGGTGGGAGTCGGTTTGGTGTCATAGCTAACGGCTGGAAAAAATGACATGAGAGCTGAGAGATAGGAGACGAATATGCGTTGACCGAAAGTTGTGTTTTGTGCTAGGTTCTCATCATTATTGTTATGTGGGAGTATAAAACTTTGATTTGTTCGGACAAAATCGGGCAATGAATCTCAAAAGGACAAAATGAATGTGTATTGCTTTTTGGATAACGATGTACCAATAATTTTTATTTATATAATTATATATTATTAGAATAAATAAAAGTATAATATAATTCTATAAATGAAATAAAATATCAATGATTTATTGATTTAAGTGAAAAAAATTTGATTTTTCTTAAATAAAATTTTAAATTTGAGTCTGAACGAAAAAATAA